GGCGGAACAGGGGAGCCCGAGGGCAGACCGGGGAAGCCAGGAGGGTCCGGCGGGCGGCCCGAGGGCGGACCAGGGAAGCCAGGAGGGTCCGGCGGGACAGGGGAGCCCGAGGGCAGACCAGGGGAGCCAGGAGGGTCCGGCGGGCAGCCCGAGGGCGGACCAGGGGAGCCCGGAGGGCGGCCCGAGGGCTGGGCTAGGGGGCGAGACGACCTCTCCAGAGGCCGGGGAGCCGGGCAGGGAGCCGGGCGTGGCGACCTCACCAGGGGCCGGGGAGCCGGGCGTGGCGACCGGGGAGCCGGGCGTGGCGGCCTCTCCAGAGGCCGGGGAGCAAGACGAGACAAGCCAGAGAGTTCGGGCGGGCGGCCCGAGGGACGGGCTAGGGGGCGAGACGACCTCTCCTGAGGCCGGGGAGCCGGGCGTGGCGGCCGGGGAGCCGGGCGTGGCGGCCTCTCCAGAGGTCGGGGAGCAAGGCGGGACAGGCCAGAGAGTTCGGGCGGGCGGCCCGAGGGACGGGCTAGGGGGCGAGACGACCTCTCCTGAGGCCGGGGAGCCGGGCGTGGGGCTGGCAGCGCGACAGCAGCGGGGGGAGTCAGGGATGAGGCTGCTGGGCTGAGGGCCTCGGTGCGAGGAACAGGGGTCGGCCGGACCACCGGCGGGCTGAAGCCGGTCCGTCCGCCAACAGAACACGAGGAGCAGGGGTCGGCCGGACCACCGGCGGGGCTGAAGCCGGTCCGTCCGCCAACAGAACACGAGGAGCAGGGGTCGGCCGGACCACCGGCGGGGCTGAAGCCGGTCCGTCCGCCAACAGAACACGAGGAGCAGGGGTCGGCCGGACCACCGGCGGGGCTGAAGCCGGTCCGTCCGCCAACAGAACACGAGGAGCAGGGGTCGGCCGGACCACCGGCGGGGCTGAAGCCGGTGCGTCCGCCAACAGAACACGAGGAGCAGGGGTCGGCCGGACCACCGGCGGGGCTGAAGCCGGTGCGTCCGCCAACAGAACACGAGGAGCAGGGGTCGGCCGGACCACCGGCGGGGCTGAAGCCGGTGCGTCCGCCAACAGAACACGAGGAGCAGGGGTCGGCCGGACCACCGGCGGGGCTGAAGCCGGTGCGTCCGCCAACAGAACACGAGGAGCAGGGGTCGGCCGGACCGCCGGCGGGGCTGAAGCCGGTGCGTCCGCCAACAGAACACGAGGAGCAGGGGTCGGCCGGACCACGGCGGGGCTGAAGCCGGTGCGTCCGCCAACAGAACACGAGGAGCAGGGGTCGGCCGGACCACCGGCGGGGCTGAAGCCGGTCGGTCCACCGACGCAGCACGAGGAACAGGAAGAGTCGGCTGGGCCACCAACGGAGCTGGTGCTGGTCGGACCACCGACGTCCTTGCTCCTCGACGGCGGGGTCCACGTCGCCCTCCAGCTGGCCTTACTGGAGGTGGAGCAGACGTGGAGCCGGGGGGGAAACTAGCCTCCACACTAGTAGGCCGCAGACTGGCTGCCCGTGCTTCTTCTGACTCCCTGGCCTTCATAGCAAAGAAGGCCAGGAGAGTCATAGTCCCAGAGTCTTTGTTGGGGGGGTCACGCGGGCAGATGGGCCGGCCAGGCAGGGGGCTGGCCACTGGAGGGCTAGCGGCCCGGGGATCAGGGCCAGGCTGGGGGCTAACTGGCCGGGGACCAGGGCCAGGCTGGGGGCCAGCGGCGCTAGCAGGCTGAGGGACTGGGCCAGGCTGGGGGCCAGCGGCGCTAGCAGGCTGAGGGACTGGGCCAGGCTGGGGGCCAGCGGCGCTAGCAGGCTGAGGGACGGGGCCAGGCTGGGGGCTAACTGGCTGGGGATCGAGAGAGAGTGGTAATAATTGGCGGGAGCCGCGATGGTCACGTCTCCTCCGAAGGCCACCACGGCCCCCAGAGAAGATGGCCAGGCGGGTTCCCTCGAACTGAAGGCGGGGGTCAAGCATGGTGTCGGGCGAACATGGGGAACAGGCAGGCCGGGGAATGCTCGGGACAGGCTGGTGGCTAGCAAGCTGGGGATCTGGACCAAACTGGGGGCTAACTAGCTGGGGGTCAGGGCCTGGCTGGGGGCTAGCGGCGCTAGCGGGCCGAGGAACAGGCTGGGGGCTAGAGGCGCTGGCAGGCATGGGGGCAGGCTGGGGGCTGGCAGCTGAGGTCTGGCTACACAGGGAAATGCTTCCCAGCCTGCAACTAGCGGGTTGGATACGAGACCACCGAGGGCTGGCGGGGAGATGGAAAAATCTGGCCAGCCTCTCCGGGACAGCGTCTCTCAGCCAAGGCCTCTGAGAAACCTTTACCTGGCCCAAGGTCAAAAGCGCCAGCTTGTAGCCCGTGTGGGTCGAGCCCCTCCACTTCTCCTCCAACTCCAACAGCTCCTTGCATAGCTGACTAGCTTCCTCCTGATGGGCGGTTGCTGGGTCCATAGTTGGCTTGATCGTTCTGTTACGGGGTGTGGTGTGTGGACAGAGAGGACCCAAATGCAGCACTCAGAAGGAAGGAGGTTTATTGGAGGAAAAAGGGGTGAGAGGGACTGGAGGGAGAGGAGGACGTCGGGAAGAACAGGCACGGGGAACCAAGGAGACAGGGGGCCAGAGAGCAGGGGAACACAGGGGCCGAGGAAGCGTGGAGAGGCGGGGGAACAGGGAGGACGCCGTGAGGGAAGTCCAAAGAGGAGTGGGCCAGTGGGTGAGCCCAGCCGAACGGAGGACGAGGGTGAGTGTACCTGGGAGGAAAACAGACAAGGGACAAGGTTAGGGAAGACAGCAACAAGGTACAGGGTAAACGTGAAAAAACAGGAACATGAAAGCCTGAACGTGGGGATGGCACCGGGTATGGAGCAACGACGATCAAGCAAGGATGGTGTGGAGAACCGGGGTTGAAATACAGGCTGGGATGAGGTTGATTACTGGCAGGTGTGGCAGGCTGACGAGGTGGATGATGGGTTGCAGGTGCAGGTAGTTGGCTGGGCTCAGGAGCAGAGGGAGAGAGAGCACACGGGGGAGAAAACACAGAGAGGCGGGCAGAGAACAGGAAACCGAGGGAAAAAGCAGAAAAACTGATAAAAAGTAGAAAAAACCAGGACACTCACCGTCAGCCGGGCTGCCACCACAACAAAAATCACCTAAAAAAACTCACAGAAGATTATTCTGGCTTTTTAACAAAATTTAATTATCCTTATTTGTGTTACATGTTGCTTTTGTCCATAAAAAGAGATCCGCTTTAATGGACAAGTCTACTTTTACCATAAATGAACATCTCTACTGCTTTGTAGAGCCTCAGATTTAAAAAGCTCTGTTTCTATTGCTGTTAGAGCCTGAATGAACTAAGAAATGTGTGTTTTTTTTATTGGGTAAAAAAGGATTAATTTTGATGACTGATATCTGAATTCCTCTTCTGAAGCCTTTCACATGGAAATGCATACCTGTATTCACTGTCAGAAACAAGAAAAGTATAATTTGTCATTTGTTTCTGGCTGCACTCCCGCACTGCTGACAGATCATTGGCTCCTCAGAGCCTGAAAGCCTCTGAGGAGCACAGTGTCAAACAATGTCAAAATGAAATGAGAGGAAGGCATGATCTTTTTTTTTTTTTATCCCAGTTCTTTCCTCTGGGCGGTTTAGAAGTGATTTGTTAAGGTGAGGATTTCCTATCTGCTGCCTTCTGGCTGCTATAAACACTTCTGAGATGACATTTCAGAAAAACCTTCCTGAGCCATTCTTACGGTGCAAAAAGTGTTTCCCAATTATTTCCAATTTGCCTCTTAAACTCCTCCGGTATCAGGTTACTTCGGCTCATGAACCTCCAGGGAAGAGTTTCTAACAAAGTTACAGGAAACATCACACGCTGATTCATGCCACAGCAGACGCTCTAATAGGCGAGCGCTGCGCTGCTGAACGGCTCTGCTAATTAAATTTCAGATGCCGGGGAACAGGAGTTTGACGGTGAGGCTGGAAGGTACTGAGAAAAGTGTGTGCGTGTAGCTTCCTCCTCTGACAAACGTTAAAATCTTTCCTCTAGCAATGAGTCAGTCTGCCTTTACTCCACTATATTATTTAATAGATTTAATTGCCATTTAATTTGTAGATTTAGATTATTAAAACAGAATATAAATCAGCTAATTAGTGGTGGTGTATTTTTATAGATTAAGCCACCCAGCAGCACCTTTACTGGCTGCTACACTGAAGTGATGAACACATTAATAACTCAATAATTTTAGTCCCATAATATAATTTACATTATTTTGCTAATACTTTTGTCTTTTGCTTTAGTAAGATTTTGAATGCAGGACTTTTACTTTTAACAGAGTATTTATAGACTGTGGTATTTCTACTTTCCACAGTCCTGGCTCTGTGCAAAAACACCTAAAAGTCTCAGAGAAATGGCCTCTTTGTGTTACTCTCCCTCCACTGCAGTCTGAGGAAACAAAAAGAGGGAATATCGTTTCCTGCTCATTAACTGGAGTTGATGAGAGCTGAGAGGTCGAATGAGAAAAACCTCCTCATCAATACTCATCGATCTGACGCCGCCTCTCCCTTTTCTCTGGTTTCCTGCCGTTGGAGTTTTTTTCTTTACCTCTCAACAATACAACTTTCTCTCTTTCTTTATCCGCTGCTCTATATTATCACCTTCTTCCTGCTTTTTTCATCTCTCTCCACGAACTATTTTTCTGCATTTCCTCATCCTTTACTGAGTATTTCCTTTCAACCATCTTTTCTCACTAATTTCTTCCACCACCACCTTTTATTTCTTTTCCTTTAATCACTTTCTTCTTCTTTCTTTCCAAGACTGTTTTTCTCCCCATCTTTCTCTCTTCTTTCTTAACCTCCCTATCTCCTGTCTTTCTTTCTCTTCCTCTCTTTTTTCCGGTCTGTCATCTTAAAGCCTGTTGTTTACTGTGGCTTTTTGTTACAGGTGTTCTGTTGTTTCTTCAGAGATTTTGACAGTTTTTTTTTTTTTACGGCTGATTTAATCCTCCTCCTCCTCCTTCCTCCTCCAGGTCTGTCTATTCGTAGCGTCTGCTGGCGAGCCGACCGAATCCTGGCAGGAACGCAGGACAGCGAGATCTTTGAGGTGAGAAAAAGGATAGGAAACAGACACCCGGCTTCATGCTGTTCCTCCCTGCAGAGACGATTTTTCAGAAGAGTTTTATTTTGGTCCAGTAAGCAATGCCTGTTGAACTCTGGCTCCTCACATGCTTTACCTCACTAAAACCAGTAATACAAGTTTATAGATACCATTCAGTGACATTCATATGAAACCTAAAAGCCCATATGTAAAGAATGTATTAGTAAAATAATCATGAGACACAGAGCTTTCAGTAATGACCGCCATGTGCAGTGACTGACTAAAGCAGGGGTATTCAATTAAAATTAAAATTATAATTAACACTCAACACATCTTAACAAAAAGCTTTAATGCCTCCTCTTCACTTTCATTCGTCCTTATATAGCTACCACTTCCCTACTTCCTCTTGTTCAGTGAGAAACGTGAGCTCTGGCTAGGATTGGTGATATATGAGATATTCTGGTTTTGAACTGCCCGTGGGAAAAATGTACTGTAGGCCTACATGTAATTCTGGGTTAAAAGCCATGTGTCTCTCCTCTTCGTCTCCTTGGCAGTGCTTATCGGAATGCACAGATTTGATTGGCTGAGCTCCGGACAGATCCATTTCCTTGTGAATCCAGCTGTGTACTGAACACTCACATGAGATTGACATCAGTCGTCTCACCCTCTCAAAGAAAGCATGCATTTCCTTAAAAACCATTCCTGGTACTCTTATTTACAGACCAGTTGACCATTTAGACTCGCAGGTTAAAGCTGAGGCTTCATTTTAGTGTAGCTAAGTACTCACGCACCTACAGCTACACACTGAACCTAGCCATCTAAATTAGGCTGGTTTTACCAGCAGTCATCGTACTGGAAGATGCAATTACCACATTACATTAAGCTGACTTACAGTATGTGTCAGAGATCACACGCCTCAGGAGCAACTAGGGGTTAAGTGTCTTGCTCAGGGACACATTAGTGGATGTGTCACAGTGAGGTATTGAACCAAGATCTCTCACACTAAAGGCATGTGTCTTATTATCCACTGCTCCATCACCACCCCATAAATTTGAACCGCTGGACTGTTCTGCCATATTTGTTGTTTGCCACAGCGAGCCAGGGTGTGAAGAACTAGTCCACACTACAGAAGATGATTAAACACAAATCACTTGATTTCTGCATCAACAAGGCTCCGCTGGGAGTTGAACCCAGGACCTGTTTTAGGAGACAGGCGCAATTATGCTATGTTTCAGTCTGATTTAATGTTGAAAAGTTTAGGCTCAGTTTTAACTTGTGTCTGTTCGCGTCTGTCCAGGTGATGGTGAGGGATCGGGACAAGCCGCTGCTGATCATGCAGGGACACAGCGAGGGTGAGCTCTGGGCGCTGGACGTTCACCCCAAAAAGCCTCTGGCAGTCACCGGCAGCGACGACCGCTCCGTCAGGTCAGCACAGGAACAACAATTTAACCTCCTTACACATTAATGTACTGGGAGGCTCCCAGTACAACCACAGGCTGCAACAGGTGGACTGTACCCGCTCCACTGGAGGAATCGCCTTGTTCGTGAGCGTCCCTGTGATAGATAATGACAGAGGGAGTTGATTTCTACTGTGCTTCTGCTCATCTCCAGCATCTGCGCGCTGTTTTCTGTCAGCAGCAGGAGGTTCCTCAGAGACCAATTACATATTATATAATGAGATAAACACACACAGTCAGCTGCACACAGGTGAAAATGGAAACAACAGCAGTAAGGACAAAAAAAGATGCTGACATGGTTGCTGTCGACGCACTTCATGCCGCTCCTGCAGCTGGTTGGTTCCCTCATTTTCTTTTTCATATATATTTTATTTAATTGACCCTTTGTCTCGTTCGTCAGGCTTTCTGTTTAGCAGATTTCAAAATGATATAAGTCTACTGGACCTGCTTTAGAGGTGGCCTGAAAGTCGAGATCAAGTTTCTTTATTGTCCCACACGGGGAAATTTGTTATGAAGCAAGAGATCACATAATGACAGAGATACAGACCTATAACGACATTTGTCCTGGTGTTGTCTTTTTAATGGCGCATCTCCAAAAAGTTCTGGAGACATATTTTACCACTAGGAGTTCTCCTAAATTGCGCTAAAGGCTCCAGCTACGTTTCTGATTCAGACCTGTTCACAAAGCTGCTGAAAGCAACTTTTACTGAGGAACTGAGAGCCAAGAGAAGAGGCTGAGTTGACCATGTTGTCACGGATGATATCACCATTCATGTTTCAAAACGCTGAGTCAGCGAGGCTCACTACCTGCAGCAGCTGACTCACTGAGACTCAGGATTCCTCTGGACTGGTCCTCTGATTTTTAACAGACTTATACCACCAAAAAGACAAAAAAAAATTAGGTCACATTCAAACCGACTTGCGTGAAAAACACTGCGCTCTCACAATCCAATGTCATCCTGCAAAGCTCTGCAATTAGCCAATCAAGTACACACAATGCAAGCACACAATTCAGTATTGTCCTCACGAATCGCTGGCCAATGATAAAATAGCTGTAAAACCCTGTATTACAAGCTGTTGTGCAGTGTGTTGGCGTCTGATAAGTCTAGAGATGAACTACCTGGATTGCATTTCATGTGCCATCGCTACCTTAAGCAACACACCCGAACTAAGGCAGCCCCCATGTTTTTGTCCCTGCTTACTCTTAGACAAAAAACTTTAAACTTTAAAATCAGGTCGTCACTTTTTCTCCTCTAAGTCGGCCAGTCAGGAGCTACTTTTAGATTTTTGTGAAAATGGCCACTTGGTGTGTAGAGCACAATGGAAAACAGGGCAGACTCAATAACTTTCTCTTTACAGGTTCTTAAAAGGTCAGGCTATGGTAAAGTTAACAGGGATTTATTAATTAATTGTGTAGCTAGGCTTAAGTCTGACTGTGTGTGTGTATCAGGTTGTGGAGTCTGGTGGATCACGCCCTCATTGCCCGCTGTAACATGGAGGAGGCGGTGCGCAGCGTGGCGTTCAGTGTGGACGGATACCAGCTGGCTCTGGGCATGAAGGACGGATCCTTCACTGTGCTGAGAGTCAGGTGACACACACACTAACAATTCAACAGTTTTCTGAGACAAACAAATTGAATTGAATCTAATACGGCTTTGTTGTAAGGTGGAATGAACCAGGTGTTTTTCTCTCTGTCTGTTTTAGAGACATGACCGAGGTGGTTCACATCAAAGACAGGAAGGAGGTGATCCACGAGATGAAGTTTTCTCCGGATGGAGCGTACCTCGCTGTCGGCTCCAACGACGGACTTGTGGACATCTACGCTGTCGCCCAGAGATTCAAAAAGGTAAAGATGGACGATTTAGATGAACTATCTATGTATAGAAACTCTCACAGTCTGACGGATCATTTCCTCTGTCTGTCTGCAGGTGGGAGAGTGCAGCAAATCCACCAGTTTCATCACACACCTAGACTGGTCTCTGGACGGCAAAATCCTGCAGACCAACGATGGAGCTGGAGAACGCCTCTTCTACCGAATGCCTAGTGAGTCTCTGCAGATTCAGCGTTCAGCCTATAGTCGCTCAAATTGTAAGGAATTTCTTAGAAACTAGAGCTGCATTATTTTCCTTTTTTACAGTATATGATGATACCTGATGTCAGAGTACAATTACAGTGCTGTACTTAAAGGCATTAACTCATTCAGAAACTACGTTTTAATAAGAATATTAATAAAATTAATTATTCTCACAAAATGTTGTTAATTTGAAGGAAAAGTCTTAATGTTATGAGATGAAGTTGCAATTTTACAAGAAATGTTTTAAGCTTATGAGATTTATATTTTAATATTGTGCCGTGAGAGCAGCCCATGCGCCTAAAGAATAATGTGGATCACTGGAAGTTATATGTTTCACCAATAAGAAACATAATATCTGTCAGACCCAAACACAGATCTAAGTAAAAGACAGTTTATTCAAAAGAGGTTTAGCGGGGAAGTTAGGGGTTTGAGGGAGAGGCTCCCTTCCTGATCCTGGGAAAGGGGAAACCCGAGGTTGCAGCTGGCGGACTGGGAACGGGGGAATGACCAGGCTGCGGGCGGAACAGAGAGCTTTCTGGTTGGCGGCTTGCTGAGGCTTGACGGTGGTTTTCTGTGGCAGAGAGGGAGAGCCAAGCAGAGACAGACAAACAAAAACACACCAAGCTCACCAAGCCGGGGCCTCGTGACATTATCATATGTTTTTAAATATTAAAATGAAATAAAGCCAACCGCATCACAAATGCGTTGAAATTAACTAGACAGTCCTGACAATGAAAGTTTGTTTCGAGTGCACTCCTGCCTTTAGTGAGTCGTTTATATCCCAGCTCCAGCCTCACACACCTGTAGGTCCATTCCTGTCAATATTTAAAGAAATTCCAGAGAGTTTCTAAATATCAGTTGGGCTTGATGTCCGAGAATGGACCTGAAAAAAATCCCCTCTTCGATCCCAAGTCATCTTTTGGAGAGTGTGTAATGATTCCAAGATACACTGTTATGTACAAGTGAACACGCACACCCAGTCAGATTCATGCATGTATTCATAAAGTGAATAAAGGGTAGTGTGGGGTAAGACGTCCCCCCCTCAGCTCAATGTCTATTTGCTGACACATAAAATAATATTTTATAGGGTTTTTTATGGAGACGGCCATGCTTAGGGTAACATAATATAAAGTAAAATAAATACCTACACTTGAGAAGTAATTGGTATTTAATCAAATGTATTTTTTATGGAAAAGGCATTTTCCGCATGGGGTAAGATCACTTTAATATGTGCAAATTACAGATTTAATAAACTCTAAGTTGCTGGTTAAAAGCAAGAGGATTATAGACCGTGTTGTAGAAATAAACTTGCCTTGCCTTATGTTTCTGATAATTTATTTATTTATATTTTTTATTTAACTAGTGAAGTTGCAGAAAGTCTGAGGTAAAATATGTGCATGCCAGCTAGCTAGAAATGTCAGCATATGTGAGCTTATAACCTCAGAATTTACCTCAGACTTTCTGATATTGAAGCTGTTAGAGATGTTGTGACATTTTATGTTTTTAGTTCGTGGGGGGGCGTCTTACCCCATGTTACCCTACTCGTATTTCTCCAGTGTACCTGAGAAAGGAGGCGACAAACACACACACCTGACACAGTGATCTGAAAAGACAGAAAAGAAGCAGACGGAGGGAAGAGGCTGACTGCGACATCAGATATTTTAAGACGGACTTATGGAAATGTTGAAATCCTTTCCTGTCCTGGTTGGCGATCCCTCTGGTTACCGTGGTGACGACAAGTTCTGAGGGCAGCAAACACTCCTTATGCAGCTAAATTGTATTTGCTGTTTTAATAGAGAATTCAGTCAATAGTTTTACCATCATGCGCAGAGCATCCTCCATCTGATTTCATGCTGCACGCTGCACCAGTACTTTTCCACACAGTGAAAGGGGATGCTTATGTTGCTGACGAGTTGGAGGTTTGCAGCCTGTCGCCTGCGGCTCTCCATCGAATGTGGCTGCTGCTGACTTTTCCATTACTCCCCAACACATTTATAAGTCATCCGCTGACAGAAAAGAACATGTTATCTTGCTTTGTCGACGCCTTTTGATGAACGATCACGGTCAGTGCCAACATTACTGACAAATACACTGTGGCTGCTTCACAATATAATCCATCCCTTTGTACATCCAGGTGAAGACTTGTGGGAAATGTTGTGGTAGCTTTAGCAGTAAGCAGGCGAGTGAATAGCAAACAGCGAGGTTGATATCAACAACATAAAATTACACTGGGTTACCTGCTGCATTACCTACTTTAAAGACAGGTAAATGAATTATTTATAATTGCATATTGTAGGTAGGTAGGTTTATTATGACAATATAACAAGTTATAGAGTGAAACTGTGTTTTGTAACTCCCTTCTGCTACATAGCAGATAATATACATTAATACAGAATCAATTATTAAAAAAATCGTAAACAGAAATGAACTATAATTAAAGGACGAGTGCTGAGGATGAATTGTAAGTCGTATGCAATATAAATTCATTAATTGGCTTTTGCAGAAAAAAATCCATCCATCCATTGATTTTCTGCCACTTATCTGTTGCTGGGTAGCGGCGGTAGCAGCAGGCTATGCAAGTTAGTCCTGATGTCCTTCTCCACAGCAACATTTTCCAGCTCTTCCTAGGTGATCCTGATGAGATATATAATCGCTCCAGCGTATTCTGGGTCTACCCCAGAGAGGTGTTATTGCAGAAGAAATGCCAGTTTATGATTTTAAATGTCAGGACAGAAAAGGAAAAGAAAGAGAACGATTGAAGGACATTCAAAGGAAGGAAGGAAGAATAAAACAAGACTGCAGGAGACTATGTGTGGTGGTGCTGATGTAATAAACTATCATTGTCTCCACACAAGATTTCATTCACAAAACGTCCAACAAAAGAAACCAGCTCTGCGACTGGATTCAGAACACATTTCAGCTTGAACAATTAAAATCTGCACCATCCACACATTTCTATTTCTCTCTTCGTCTCTTTCAAGTGATTTTTATTGATAAAAATGTGCAAATAGGCTGTTTTGTTATCATTAGCATCTACAGAGAGATAAACCGGTGCATGCTAATGCATGGTATTTCTTTGAGAGCTGCCATTCACACACTTTTCCTCCTTCTCCTGCAGTGGGGAAGCCAGTTGTCAGTAAGGAGGAGGTGAAAGGTCAGTGCTGGGCATCCTGGAGTGGCGTCCTGGGCTCAGAAGTCAGCGGCATCTGGCCTAAATACTCTAATCTAACTGAGATCAACGCTGTGGACGCCAATAACGCTGCTGCCGTGCTCGTTACCGGAGACGGCCTCGGCCTGGTTAAGCTCTACCGCTTCCCCTGTCTGAGGAAAGGTCTCTATCTTTCTTTCTTTTTTGTGTCTTTTATACTTTCTCTCTCTCTGTGGTTAACCGGGAGCCATCTTGTTTTCTTCCAGGAGCCAAATTCAAGAAGTACATTGGTCACTCAGCCCATGTGACCAACGTCCGCTGGTCGCATGACCTGCAGTGGGTGCTGACCACAGGTGGGGCAGACCACGCCCTCTTCCAGTGGAGGTTTCTACCAGAGTCGGTCATGAACGGAGGACTGGATATCAACATACAAGGTAGGGAAACAAGGCAGAGTTGTGTATAAAATCTTGTTACAGTGAAGAACAAAATAGAGTAAGAGTACTTTACAATACAGGAGAAGCAAACAGTTCTTCTCAATTTGGTTCCAGGTTTTCTTTAGTATTCTTTAGGGGTTCTCTGCGTGTCTTTGAAGTGGTTTAAGTAGGCTTTGGAAGTCCTTATGAAAGTTTCAAGGCTCTTCAGGTCGCCTTGAACAGCCCTTACCAAATCTCTAGGGCTGTCCACGATTAAGGATTTACTTAGTCGAATCAGAATCGTCAAGTCCTGCCTGCAAACGTCCTATATTGGTTTTCAGATTTTCTTGAGTAGGCTTTGAGTGTCTAAGTGGGAGTTTTAGGTGTCCTGGAAGTGGTCCAGAGTTTTTGGGGGTAACCTTTTGTGAATGTTGGGCTGTTGGTCCATGGGTCTCATCGGGGTTTACGCTCCCTTTTTTTGTAGGCTGTAGAGGTGTTCATGAGAGTGACACGGGTCCCATCAGTGGTTCCAAGTTGTCTTGAGTAGACTGTAGCAGATATCATGAAACTTTAAAGTAGGCTCATATTGGGGCCTACTTTAAAGTTTGTGGAGTAGCATTTGGGGGTCTTTGTGAAAGTCCCAGTGGTCCCAAAAGTGGTTCCAAAGTTTCTTGAGTAGCCCTTAGTGGTCATGTGACAGTTCCCATGTGTTATGGATGTGATTTCAGGTTTTCTCAAGGCTTCAGAGGTTTTCATAATTGGAAAATGGCTCACTTTTATTGACGCTTCAGAGTCAAGAGTTACAAAGGTACTGCAGATGGTTCCTAATTGTCTTTTTCTTTAAGTTTTAGAAATCCTTGTGAGATTTACCTCTAGAGACCTACGTGGTTCTAGAGGTTCATAATGGGGTTTAACATAGATCGCCCCATTCACCAAATCAGGGGTTTAGATCAGGTGTTTTCAAAGTCTGAGACAGTGGGCCCCCCCTCAGACAAAGCTTGGAAAAAGGCTAACCCTTCCTCCCAGTTTAGTTGCTTAGTTTTGCTCGATTTCATGGATTACTGGGATTGTTATCATGCTATTTGATCCCGTAGCCATTTAACAAACTGTTTAACATACAGTATATTCAGACTTCACCGAATAGCCGACACAAAAAAGGTCTGTCCTAAGGCATTTATTAGTTTTAGTCTGACTCTGGAAAAGACAGCAAACTTCCCCAAAACTACTGTATCTCTGAACTGTTTAACCAAATCACACACATTTAGGCTGTTTAGGCATGTGAGCTCCTTTTTGATAACTGATGGAATATTTTTTCACTTCCATTCACTGAGCCTCCTGCTTTGAAAACTTCTGGTTTAGATGACAGTTGAGTTAAACAGAGCACGTTTGTCTTTCTGCGTCTCCTCTGTAGAAAGTCATGGAGACTCCAACGGGGAGGAGTCGGACAGCGACGTGTCGGATGTCCCGGAGCTCGACTCCGATATCGAGCAGGAAACACAGATCAACTACGACAGACAGGTAAGTTGCGGCCGTCTGGGTTGTTTCCACAGTCCCTGAGCGACGCACTGAACCCTCAGCTGCTCCAAAGTGGTTTCACAGAGCAGCTTTGGTCTGAATGTTTTTACAGCTGAGTGTATTTTAAAGGAGGCTCCTCGTTCGTATTCCCACCAGCCACAGGGCAGCAGTGCTCTGTGCTGTTGCCATGGCGATCCTAAAACACGCCTTATCTCCGATACCAGCCGCTGCCTGGCAGACGTCCCTGTAACTGCTGTTTGCCGGGCGCCGCCAGTGTCGTGACAATGTGCAGTTTGGAGATAGAGCTCAAAGTGTCTGTGTGTGTGAGAGAGACAAAGAGAGAGACTGCATGTGTGTTTATATTTATCTGTAGCTCCAGAGTTTAATTGGAAAGAGCAGGAAAACATGGATTATTATTACTTCCCTTTTCCCTGGCCTGCCTTCCGTCCTTCCTTTATTTCCTAGATTTCCTTCTCCCCTCTTTCTTACCATCCTTCCTCCCTAGATCTTCTCTCCAGTTTCTTCTTGCCCTATTTTTTTGTCGTTGTGTTTCCCTTCATTTCTACAATCTTCCGCCTTTATTCTCACTCTGTTTCTGTTGGTAGCACTGTTCCACCGCTTTGGTCCAGACTGAAATATCTCACATATATTTGATGAATTGCCAGAAAATGTTCCCCAGATGATAAATCCTATGACATTGATCCAATGACATTTCCACTAGTGCCTACATGAAGTTGACATTTTTGCCATTTAATTACACGTCTTGAAACCTACTGGATTAAAGGGCGTGACATTTTGGACAGATCTTCATGGTGCCCAGAAGATGAAGCCTAATGACTTTGGCCATCCCATGATTTTTGAGGGCCCTACATTTTACACATTTTCACTGAAATATCTCAACATCTACTGGATGGACTGCCATGAACTTTGGTTCAGACATTCATGTTAACCTCAACCTTTACTGTCCCTCTGACTTTTCATCCAGCGCCACCATAAGGTCAAAATTTGACTTTATCCAATACTTTTATTCATGTTCCAAGTGACATGACATCCCATCAGTCTTAGCTGTAGAAGTGTTTGCATGCCAACATGCTAAACTAAGATGGGGAACATTGAAAATATTATACCTGAAGAACGTCAGCGTGTTAGCATGGTCATTGTGAGTATGCTCACATGCGGACGTTAGTATAATACAGAATCACAGAGACGCTGACATGACTGTATACACTGTTTCTGTTGTAAATAAATTACTCTTATAATTAATGTTTAACTCACACCAACTCTGAAGCGCTTCAAAGAAGACGGATATATGTGTTTATAATGCTCCATATATCTGGAACAAACTCCCAATCTTAAGATTGATGACAAGAAAGTTAAAAGGTTGAGAGAGAGGACGTTTTGAGTAAGACGTCTCCAGCCATCAATGTTTGTCTCACACCCACCTGGGAGGAAGAAGAAAATATGAATTTTTAAATTATATTTTGATAATTTTTCATTTAGATAGTTAACAGAAAACAGGAAGATTTGTTGCCAAAACAGGGAGTCTTTTTTCCACTCCCAGTGAAATGGTTTGTAACTCACAGCGCTGATCCACCATGACGCTCCAGAAATATGCAGTTTTGTAAATGGAAAGCAGCATGAAAGTGGAGCGCTGCCAGTCCTAAAACCTCCTGGGAGCAAAGTCTCTCCCTGTGAAACTCTCAGACGGCTGAAAAACACGCCAACTCACCCTCAATAGAATTATTTGTATGAAAAATGAGCAGGCGTTTTCTCTGCTGAGCGCAAAAACACTGCAGACTGTGTTCAGATCCGTTCTCTAACCAATGAAGAGAAACGGAGAAATGTGTGGACATTAGTTGTCATGCCGTCACGTTGAAGGTATGTATTGAGGATTTTGTTCTGATGAAGGGTTTATTACATTTTGGTATATTGTACTCATTAAAAGTATGCAGAATTAGCTGTTAGCAGCTCCTTTTTGCAGGGTACCAATGGATGTACAGACTCACTTATCACTGGATTACTTTGATACTTAAGAAACGTGATGATCCTCAAGCACGCTCTGTCACGTTATAATGCCTTTTTTTTCTATGATTTGTAAGTGGATTTATGCACATTTGTTCACGATGGACATCAATGATAATGAAATCCTCGGCTAGTCACACTGAATCTATAAATATGTGTATGTATCGTGTGTGTGTGTTCAAATTTGACTGACTCTGAAGGAGTACGAATTTGTACACAAAATTGCAGCATTCAGACGCTAAGTGTTTTTTTGCCCCCATGAGCTGCTGCTGCTGTTTCAACCTCTAACCTTTCTGATAACCGGGTCAAAACAAGAAATAATAATCTAGCAGGCGATTTGCAGTGAAATTTCCAAATCCCATTCCTGCTTCCCAAATGTTAAACCCTTTCAACCCCATGGTTTTTTGTCTGATGCCGAGCTAAAATCCACCATTTTTATGTTGACTTTTTAGCAGTTTTTGAATTTTGAAACGGCCATTTAGTTTTTTTTATGGGTGGGAAATGAATGTTTCTGTGTGTGTTTCTGCAGGTGTATAAGGAGGACCTGCCTCAGTTGCGACAGCAGAGCAGAGAGAAGAAACTCCAGGTTGGATCTCTGAAGAGACAGAGAGGACCCGACCAAGGCCTCCGGCTGCAGTTTGTGCACGGGTAAAATGTCGGTTTGTCAGTGTTATACAGCCCCTTTTAGACATGTACCTCTTTTTGTAAATGTGATGGTAGTTTTACATATTGGTCTAATGTCTGAATAAGCGCCTGAGTCACTTTAAAAGACAATCTCACTGGATCAGACCTAGTAACATTTCATTAAAGTGGATGTAGTCAGATTAATAAAGAGTACAGCAGCTCAAGGTTAAGACAGTTTTAATGCACAATTAAAATCACTGTAATACATTTTTCACACGCGTGTTACATATGTAGTGTTGCTTTCATTTAAGGCAGTCTCATGTCAGAATAAACCCTGAGAAACATTAACATAAAAGACTCCACAGTCTGAATTTTACAAAAAGTTGTCACTTTAACAGACAGATGAAGCCAATAATCTTACGTATTATGTTATTACTACAAGTTAAGGTCTGTGCAGAGTTTTGAGAATAGTCTGATAAAATGGTTCACATCTAGTCAGCCAATCAAATGCAGCAAAGTACTAATTGAATGTGTACCTGTTGAACACCAATGTCCCCAGTACCGGAGGCAGCACGTGATCTAAAAACACTGACTTACTTTTGCCGTTTTCGCCGTTTTCAGTCCAAAAAACAGCTTATTTGTTGCTAAAAAAAATCTCCCGCCGCCATCTTGATGATTGCACAATACCTGGGAGCTGCGCCTGCCTTCTCTTGCATTTTTCTGCAGAGCGGGAGAAGTGCTGCTTTGGAGCACACGTTCTTTTTCGCGATCTGGTGGCCGACCTGTAGGAGCTGCATAGACATCCAAATGAAAGGTCTGCTCAAGCCGGAGCGATTGACCGGACCATCACTGTGGGAGGTTCCGTTCTACACGCCTGTAAAGCATGGGGGTGCTTTTGGTGACGGGAATGTTGATGAATATTCACTGTTTTTATCAATATTTCAATGTTATGTTATTTGGAACGTGGTTGAATGGACATAAATAATGTTTTAAAGATAACTCCCAATAAAAGCCAACATTTAAACAGTAGATTTTGCCAAAATATGGACATTCGCCTGGTATGTTTTGAAAATATTGTATGATAACTGTTGTATTTTAGTTTATTTTCATAAAATATAATGTTACAATTGCATTCCAGGTGTATTAGAAGATATGCAGGTGCATTATAATCTATCTTATGATGGTTTTGATGGTTTAATGCATTAAAACTTTTTTTTACCAGGCGAGGATGAAAATATCCTATTTTTTCTTTATTGCATCTCCATTTAGTCAGTAATGGTAAAATAAATATGTTAATTTGTTCCTTAGCTTCTGACCTTTCAAAAGAGACCAGAATTATGCATCTAGGCCAAATGGTTGAGGAGTTATTACTGATTCATTTTGGGTTTGTTATTTTAGGTGTTTTTCCTGGAATTAGGGGCAAATAGCTGGAGGTTTCCAATTAAATGATATTAGAGATTGTTTGTGTCACAACGTGGCTGCTGAGTGGAGCAGCAACGGGCTTGGCAGTGAGGGAATACCCTCAAAAATTAAAAGTTTGCAATTTTTACATTTTGCACTACAAGTACAAGTTATTGTTGCCTAATAAAATAGTTTTACAGACTATTTCAGGTTTTTAAAACAATATTAGAGCCTCTGAGTGCCCAGTTTAAGAGTGACAGCAGGTTCTAATCCTGTGTTTTGGTAATAATACTGCAGCAACCTTTTTTATATATGAAGTAAATGTATTGTGCCTTAAAGTGTTACACTCTTCTTATGTTTCGAAAGACTGGGCTACCACCTGATCTCTGAAATCTCCTTAAATCTGCAAATAAAACGTGATTTGAGAAAAGTCTTATTATAGTTGTCTTTTATTATGAAGTACAGTAATAATAGTGTCTCAGTAACATGGTTTTGTTTAATGCTCAGGGTCCAATAAAGACAGAAATTATGTCCTTTAATGTTGTAAAACCTCAAAACGAAAGCTTCACACAGCGTAAGTTGAGAAAAGATGCTGAAACGTGCTGAGATATGCAGACTTTCTTTCTCAAGCGTTGTAAACACTGACGACCCTGATAACCACTGCAGATGGTGATGCTGTTATTCTTACAGGCATGACAATGGCTAAGCATGCATTGTGCGAGGTCCAGATCTTTGTACTCGTCATTGCGAGCAGTACTTTGACTGTAGTTTATAAATTACCATGTTTTTATGTTCAGACGAACAAACATCAGAGAGATGATAAACTGCCCAGTTTGAGCCAGGCAACGGGTTTTAAATGGACCAGTTTGGCAGACCCAGTTGTCTGTGTGTGTGTGTGTGTGTGCGTGCAGGTACCGTGGGTACGACTGCAGGAACAACCTGTTCTACACTCAGGGGGGGGAGGTGTTGTACCACGTGGCGGCGGTGTGCGTGATCTACAACCGGCAGCTGCACAGCCAGCGCTTCTACCTCGGCCACGACGACGACATCCTGAGCCTCAGCATCCACCCGCTGAAGGACTATGCTGCTTCAGGACAGGTGCACACACACACACACACACACGTGCACACACACACACACACAGACGCTGTCTAAGGCTTTTTTATTGAGGCAGGTAAAAAAAGAGCAAGAGAGAATTGGTTGAATCTTTGCAATCTTCCTAAGTTGATAAAAGACAGGCTTAACTGGATATTTGAAATTTAAGCTGGGATCAAACGTTACACCAAGATTTTTAGGCGCAGGTTTAATTATTTGGTAGACTTACGTGATCAGAAATATATTTAAATAAGCATCTAATGTGTGTGTGTGCAGGTGGGGAGGGACCCAGCCATCCACGTGTGGGACATCCAGACTCTGAAGTGTCTGTCTTTGCTGAAAGGATTCCACCAGAGAGGAGTGTGTGCTCTGGATTTCTCAGGTGTGTTTACATGTTCAGTCTTGATTTTAATATGTCACTTTGATTCAGGCTGATATCTCGCTGTAACTGTTGAATAATAATGTCCCCCCTCAGGATGACTTGTATAACCTTTGGACCATCATCATGTCTAAACTTTAATTTGTCCAATACTTTGGTTTATGACCAAATACCTGCAAACCTTATGGTGTACCTGTCATCCTCAGCTGTCATCAGTGCTAACAGGCTGCAGGCAAGCACAGCCTCACAGAGCCGTTAGCATGGCTGTAGACTGTCACTGTGTGTTACCTTTTAGTTTGGTTATTTCTTATGCAACCAGGTACTTCCCTACTATTCTCAGCAGAAAGAGTAAGATTGCATTTAGTTAGAAAGTTACACAAACACACACACACACAGCATTATCAGATGTTGAAGGAACAGTAAATTGTTCTGATCAGGGTTCAAATCTTGTCCATCTAGGTTTGTTGTGATGTGTTTCCCTTGTTGTGTTCAAGTGTGTAACACGTTAAACTCAGCAGTAACACAGAGCTAACCACTCGTCATCGTCCAGTTCGAGTTTCCCCCTCTGGGCTATGAAAAAGGGGAAACCCTGCTCCTGATGTATTTTCTCTCTGTGGTCCTGATGCAGCTGATGGAAAGAGTCTGGTGTCAGTGGGAGTCGATGACGGACATTCAATTGTAGTCTGGGACTGGAAGAGAGGAGAGAAACTCGCTACTGCCAGGTGTGGTAAAAAAAATAAAAAATTACTTACTACTCTAAACTACTACAAGGTCAGTACACTGTAACAAACTACAATTATACTTAGTACTTTTATTACTGCTCTTATTGTAAATACAATTTCTTCCAAATAGGTTTCACTACAACCACAACTACTACTATTATTAGTACTTTACTCCTACTTATACTGTAATTACTACTGCTTCCACACAAGTGCTACTACAACTAGTACATAGTACAAGCTCATATGTTTACTGCTTATCACTGCTTGTCGTAGTAGTAGAAGTACAGCTACCAGTGCTGTTACACTTGCAACAACAACAGATCGCTGCCACTGCTTGTTTTATTACTGGTACAAGTAATTTCTGGCTGCTTTGGCTGCTTCTACTAATGTGCTACTCATGTACTATGTTACTGCTGCTGCTTTTAAAGGGTTACTTTTTTATTTTTCAACCTGGTCCCTATTCTTCCCCATATTTTTGTGTCTATGTGATTCATTTGGAAAACATTTTTTGAAACTGGTCCAGTATTGAGCGAAACAGGGCTGCGACATAATCCTCGCAAGCAATTGTGCCCCGTCAAAGTACGTCCACTAAAGTACTTGTTTTTGTCACTGACAGGCTCAGGTTGTTCTTATAAGTGTTTGACGAAAGGATCCCTACAGAGATAGACCTTTTTTTTTTAAAGAGTATCATCCTTTTTGTTTAACCAGAAACAGACACTATATTGCTCTCGTTAAAGCCACCAGACTCCCTTGACAAAAACAGTAATTTTACCTCTCTGGTCTACCGCTGCCTCAATTGGTTAGTTTGTGTTGTTGTGTGACCCCTAAAACAACAAAGTCACACAATAACACAAACAAACTAACCATCAACTCCCATGTTCTGCGCGGTAAAGTACTACTACTTTAAAGTATGATACAGTATATTTTGGGTACAATGGACGCCAGAGTATGTATCGACTTTTAAGCATTTATACCCGCATTCCTACTTTTCATAATTACGTCTCTTTCTCTACAGAGGTCATAAGGAGAAGATATTTGTGGTGAAGTGTAATCCCATGCTGATGGACAAACTGGTCACTGTGGGAATTAAACACATCCAGTTTTGGCAGCATGCAGGTAAAACCTCAGAAAGGATGTTTGACTCTGGCTTTAACCTAACATAGAAACACACGTGCTGCAGGGTTAGATGGTACATAATCACAGTCACTCTTGTTACTCTAGCACAGTAGTTTTTGTATGCTTGTACATAGAGAATCTGGACTCTTGAATGTGACGGTTTGCCTGAGGATGGGGTCAGACAAAGGGCCATTAACCTCACAGGAAGTTCTTTAAAAAGAGATTTAAAGCGGGTGCAGCCAATAACATTAGCTGTTTAGCATTTCTTTCAGGAGATTTAGAGGTGTTTTGCCCTTTTCCTCGTGTAATTTGCCACTTTTTTTTTCTGTTGTTGACATTTGTGTTAATATGCTCACCAAAAAGTCATTTAGACTCTATTGTCCTTTGCTGACCTTTTGCTGCTGCCAGTGTCCCAAAAGAGACAATTACATTTTTAAATTAATCTAATGTAGACTCCTGGGTGTAACATTTGTGAGATTTTGTGACCATTATGCCAGAGGTTTTCAAGCTGTGAGAGAGGAGAGTTGGTTAATGAGTAGGTGAGGAGGGAATTAAAGTTTTCTTCAGTATCAAAGTAATCAATCCAGTAATAGTTGTCCGTACATCCATGAGTACAACGCAAACAGGAACTTAACCTTATGCCTTAGTATGGACATTTTTGTCCGTTAACATATTTTAATGGGTAAAAATATTACTATAATAGCTAATTCAGCTACTTTTAGTGGTGTCAATTTGCCAATATGTAAACAAACATAGGCTGATGAAACAGGGCTCAAGTTGTAGGCCAACACCCCCAAAGTGTGAGCCTTTGAAAACCCCAGATTTAGGCCAGTGAAACCCCAGGAAGGTCCTGAATGGGCGTATTTTCTCAACTAAACAGCATCTGGCATCTTGTTCTCGGGCAGTGGTGAAAGTTGTCCATAAAGTTCTGTCTGATCTTGTACTTCTTTGTTTGTCCTCCAGGTGGCGGCCTGACTTACAAGCGCGGTGTGTTCAGGTGCGTAGGCCGGCCGGAGACCATGATGTCAGTGTGTTACGGCCGCAGCGATGCGCTGGCATTCACCGGCGCCGCCACGGGAGACGTTTACATCTGGAAGGAACCACTGCTGATGAAAACAGTCAAAGCTCACGATGGACCGGTGTTCGCCATGTTCTCCCTCGACAAGGTGAGGAGGGCAGGTGTGTGAGAGAGAGAGATGCTTCTACATAATATAATTTAAGAAGTTTGGATAATTTTCTTGCATTATATTCTTTAAGCTGGTTGTTGCACTCGTGAAGTGGTGGAAAGCTACTCTTTGAACCCATTTAAGGTGATTTGGCTCAAAGCAAAGACAACAACAGAGATAGAAAAGGACTTTAGTGTGATACATTAATGTATGAATCAACTACTTAATCTGTAACATATCATAATTTATTTGTTGAATAATTCCTTAATTAATAATAATCAGAATCTGCAAATAAATTTAGTAGAGTAAAAAGTAAAATATTTCTCTCTGAGATGTAGCTGGGTAGAAATATAAAGTAGCAGATAATAGGGGTGGGGGAAAAAATCGATACAGCATAGTATCGTGATATTTGCCATGGCAATAATGTATCGATACACGGACGCCAAGTATCGATATTTTAGTATATAAATAAACTTTTACTTTTTGGTACTAGAATAATAAAATCTATTTCTTTTTTAGTCCACTAGAAAACTTAACAGGACCATATAGAGGACTGAAAAAACAGAGAAATGTATCTTTTTAGATAAACAGATATAGACAAAGTTTGACTTTAGAGACCTAATTGGAAGTTGGAAAAAGGTAATAAATTGCAATATATCTCAATATATTTAAAATCCTTTGTTGCGATTTTAAATATAACATAAATATCGTGATAATATTGTATCGTGGGGCCTCTGGTGATTCCCACCCCTAGCAGATAATGGAAATACTCAAGTAAAGTACCTCAAAAGTACAATTTCATACAACAATACAATAAATGTACTTAGTTTCTTTCAATCACTGGATTTCTGTACAACTGTCATGTTTATCTTTTTTTCCCACGCTTTAGTAGTTATCTTATTCCTTCCGTCGTTACCCAAAGTTCATGAACATTGTTGTTGAGGTTTGGAGTGAAGACTAACTGATACATCAAGAGCAACGAACCACGACACACCCACCCTCCATCACTTCAACAACGTAAAGTGAATGAATATCATTCTAATATCAGCTAACACTATATATTCTTTTAACATAACGTGTGTGTGTCGGCTGCAGTGTTCACAAGGAGCAGGTTTTTGATTAAACAGTGTGACTGGTTCTCCAGACGATCCTCCTCCTACTAATGATGCCTTTACATTCTGTCAGCCCAGTGTGTGTGTGTGTGTGTGTAAACCTACTCTACACTTACACTCAGTGTCATTTCGAACAAGAACATTGGCTAAATGCCCAAAATGTAAATGCAGGAGTGAGCGGACTTGTAGTATATTTACATGTTCAGCGTTTCTCCTTCCATCTGTTTCCCCTCTCTCTCTCTCTTTCTCTCTCTCATTATGTAACGGGATTTAAAGACAGACGAGCCAACAGGAGAGTCTGCAATTAACCAAAAACTCCTTTAAAAACTTGGTCCTCCTTTCTGCTTCCATGAACACTGCATCTGTATGTGCATGGTGCCTGGATCCGAGCCTAACAGCCAACCAGTGAAACTCAGCCAAACCTCAGTCTCACCTTAGCTTCCTCCTCAGCCTCACCTCGGGCTCTGTGAATATTCAGTCTTGTAAACAATACACTGTCCATTTTATAAGAAATTGTATTTTGTGATACAATATCTTTAGTATGATCACTGTTCAGGGTGTCAGTGAATCTTTATGACTCTGGAGTTAAAATAAAATAAAAATAGACTCTTTCCAATACAACACCAACTCTGTGAGAGTCTTCAGATAAAACATCATGCAGATCTGAAGATCTCAGGCTGAGCGGGAAGACGTGACAGCAGAAACCTGTCAGTGGAGGATGACAGCTGTGACAGAGGGAAGGAGGGAGGGAGAAGGCGGGTGACAGACTCTTGAGTGAAGAAAGAGGCGGGAGAGGAAGATCAAACGCCAATAAAGTTGACATATTTCCGCTTGGTTTTAGCAGAGCGAAGATTTGTACTTGCTACTTACTGATTTATCTTAAAGTATCAATAACTCAGTGAAATCAATCAATAAAATAATTTCTTTTCAGGGCTTTGTGACGGGCGGGAAGGACGGCGTGGTGGAGCTATGGGACGACATGTTTGACCGCTGCCTGAAGACTTACGCCATCAAGAGAGCAGCACTGTCCCCGGGCTCCAAAGGTACGCACAACTATCACCACCACATGCCTCACCTCAACCTCCGTTCAGCCTCAGCTCAGCTTAACCTCAGCCTAACCTCAGCCTAACCTCGGCCTTACCTCGGCCTAACCTCGGCCTAACCTCAGCCTTACCTCTGCCTAACCTCAGCCTAACCTCGGCCTTACCTTAGCTTCTTCCTCAGCCTAACCTCAGCTTAACCTCAGCCTAACCTCAGCCTAACCTCAGCCTTACCTCGGCCTAACCTCGGCCTAACCTCGGCCTAACCTCAGCCTAACCTCAGCCTAACCTCGGCCTTACCTCGGCCTTACCTCGGCCTAACCTCGGCCTTACCTCGGCCTAACCTCGGCCTAACCTCGGCCTTACCTCAGCCTAACCTCAGCCTTACCTCTGCCTAACCTCAGCCTAACCTCGGCCTTACCTTAGCTTCTTCCTCAGCCTAACCTCAGCTTAACCTCAGCCTTACCTCAGCCTTACCTCAGCTTAACCTCAGCCTTACCTCAGCCTTACCTCAGCCTTACCTCAGCCTTACCTCAGCCTAACCTCGGCCTTACCGTAGCTTCTTCCTCAGCCTAACCTCAGCCTTACTTTAGCTTCTTCCTCAGCCTAACCTCAGCTTAACCTCAGCCTAACCTCAGCCTTACTTTAGCTTCTTCCTCAGCCTAACCTCAGCTTAACCTCAGCCTCACCGTAGCCTCTTCCTCAGCCTTACCTCAGCCTTACCTCAGCCTTACCTCAGCCTAACCTCAGCCTAACCTCGGCCTTACTTTAGCTTCTTCCTCAGCCTAACCTCAGCTTAACCTCGGCCTTACCTCGGCCTTACCGTAGCTTCTTCCTCAGCTTAACCTCAGCTTAACCTCAGCCTCACCGTAGCCTCTTCCTCAGCCTCACCTCAGGCTAAAACCAAACCTCAAACATCCCTTTGAAATAGTGACTATAAGTCCTCTCTTTCCAAAAATGCTTGTTGTTGATTTTGTATTGTTGGAAAGTAAGGCATGATAAGCTAAGCCTACACCTTGGTTGGTGGATGCCACAGTCTCTCTCTGTCATTCATTCATTATTTTGTAACTGTGTGAGCACTTGGGTAAACTTCTGTTTTATAATTTTAGCATTTTATTTATGTGCACCCAATGACTAAAATAAGGTTAAATCTCCATTTGAAAAGTAAGTAAAAGTAGAAAATTATTGTATTTTGTAAATAGGCCAGTGACACTCTGGATTTTTCTCTTTCTAGCTATAGCCATTGTATATATTTCTATTTTATAAAATATAAATTTATAAATTAGGGTGAACATAGTCGTAAGTGCGTTTTGTCACTTTGTCACATACAGTAGAAACTCTTCTATCCAACACTGCCATCAGCTGGACACATGGTGACACACACCTCTGTCTGTAAAACCATAAATAGCTGTTTGGGAAAGATAACTAAAATGGATAAACTACATGAAAGACTTTGTAAATGTGTGTGCGTGTGTGTGCAGGCCTGCTCCTGGAGGACAACCCGTCCATCAGGGCCATCACTCTGGGTCACGGTCACATCCTGGTTGGAACCAAAAACGGAGAAGTTCTGGAGATCGACAAGACCGGACCCATGACCCTGCTGGTGCAGGTATGTTCGAAGTCGAGTTCAAACATCTAAACACAACCAAACTTTCTCCTTTTGGACATCCATAGAGACTAAATGGACTCTCAGGTGTCTGAATGTTTAAATTTTGCTAAATAAATACTGAATATTTTCATTCTGCATTCATACCCCTAATACAAACTAAGCTAAAACAGAATGGAAGCAAATTCATCAGTTTTATGTATTGAAATCAAAAATGTTGTTGCATCGAGATCGTGAGGTGCCTGTAGACTCGCACCTCAACCACAACCAGACCATAATGGATCCCATGTCCATTAGTAGCTGTTCTGGATCGAACACGAACGAGAAGTACTTAAAGTGTTTAGAGGATCTGACAAATTGCACATCTACATTTCAATGACAACTGCTGAGGAACGTCATGTGATATCATATGGTTGAAATCTCCCGAACAGCAACTAAATGGACCTTATGGTGAGACTTTTTTAACTGCTGTTTGAATAAATACATTCACGTCTTTATCACATTTATACATTCGATAATAATGTTTCAGGCTCACGTGTGCGTGTGTGTGTGTGTGTGTGTCTGGTACGACACCTGTTGCCATGGTGAGGAGAGCCGACTGCAGCAGATCGATCAGCGTGCACACACACACACACACACACACACACACACACACACAGAACAGATCAACAGTCTTCACACATTTTGGTAAAGATTAAGACCATTTTGTATGTGTGTGTGTTTTATCAATGTGTTATTCTGAAGGTTTGGTTTCAGAGGTGTGTGTGTGTGTGTGTGTGTGTGTGTGTGTGTGTGTGTTGGGCACAAAGAAGTTAGGATTGGATTTGGAAATTAGGATGAAATTCATTGTGCTTTTGCTAATATTGGTATTACAGTATAGGAAAAGACGAGGAAGGAAAAAGAAGAGGTGATAAGAAGTTTTGTTTAGGTTCCTTAAAGAAAGACTAATATAGCTAATAAATATAGTTTATTAACTACAAACAGCACTGAGCTTTACTACCTTACTGTATCTATCATCGATGCTCACATCTAGCAAGTAGAAAGATCTGTACATTTTAAAATGTACCTTTTTCCCCCCTGAGCACTGTCTGCAGGTGCTGCAACATACCACAAGCGTAAGTAGTCTGAGAGACAAAACCCAGGGCACTCTGCTGCTTTTTTATATTACTACACGGTTATTATAGCCGTACTTACTGCTGTGAGCGCTTGGTAATAATTTAGGGCGACTCAGGTGATCATATTAATATTTTTAATCAGCTGCTCTCTTCGTTTATCTGGATTTTGACAACTGGACGAGAAACAGGGAGCTGTTTACAGAGATTTGAATCTTCCTGGTTATTAACGTTTGTGTGTGTGTGTGTGTGTGTGTGTGTTTGCAGGGTCACATGGAGGGCGAGGTTTGGGGTCTGGCCGCTCACCCCCTCCTCCACGTGTGTGCCACCGTCAGCGACGACAGAACCCTGCGCCTGTGGGAGACGTCAGCTAATCACCGCATGGTGGCCGTCCGCAAGCTGAAGAGAGGTCAGATAAAGGACCAGACCGTCAACTTCACACGCCTTTGTCCTTTTACTTCAAATCCCAGTAGTCAATCAGTTTTTAGATTGACTTCCTTTCTTTTAGACAGCTACTTGTTTCCGATCATTTCTTCAAAAAACCCTACTTGCAGAGACTTGAACTTCACTTCAGGTTTATTTTCATATCAAGTTGTACTTCTCTTCACTACCTTTCAGAGGGAATGGGGTATTGTTTTTCTTTTTTGATGGGACAAGCAGTTTCCCTGTGCTTCAAGTCTTTGTGCTAAGCTAGGTTAAACTTGTATGAATCTCTCTCTGTGCTGAATCATAGAGCTGAAACTCGGTAGAAGCTGGGTTAAAGCAACCACAGGCAGGCAGAGAATTATTTTTGAAATTGTCTTAAGGGTACAGAGATTTTAGCTGACATTGCAGATTTAGATTAGTGTAGGCATTTTATACCTTTATTAGGCAGTAAACCGCAGACAGCCGGTGGGAAATGAAAGGAGAGACACCAAAAGAGACTAATGACAAGAGTAATCAAATAACCACTAAGCTAACTGGTTAACTACCCGACTGACTCAGAGTGTGTGTGTTTTCCAGGCGGTCGATGCTGTGCTTTCTCTCCTGATGGAAAGGCTTGGCGGTTGGTCTCAGTGATGGCGGCGTGCTGGTGGTGAACGCAGACACGCTGGAGGATCTCCTGGGCTTTCATCATCGCCGCGACACCATCTCTGACGTCCGCTTCACTCCAGGTACACGAACACACACATTAACACAAACACGACTGTGTTTCCGCTTAAAGATAAATCCTCTCATTCTCACTTTTATCTGACATTTTCTCGCACACACGCATTGGTCTCAGACTCGGGCAAATTCCTGGCGGTGGCATCACACGACAGCTTCGTGGACATCTACAATGTGCAGAGCAGCAAGAGAGTGGGGATCTGTAAAGGAGCGTCCAGTTACATCACGCACGTCGACTGGGATGCTCGAGGTAACAGCGCATATCTGAAACATGTGGTTCACTGCGCAGAGTGATGCACATTCAGATGCTCACATCTTCGTTTAACACCTGGACGTACCTGCAGGAGTTATGGAGTCAATCGTGGTCCAGTTTGAAAACAAACAAAAAGTGACAAACATTGATACTGCAGGACACAAACACTGAGAATGGACTTTCATTGAAGTAGGAGCATAGACTGTTTCAAAAGACAGGAGACACCTCGGGTCGAACTTTTAAATTGAGCATGTCTTAAAAACATGTCTGGTGGAGCTCTTTAAATAGCACTTTATCACCACATGTTTTCTATAAAAGGTGTGTTAAGGGGTTAATAATCAGAGAGGATTAAAGTCAGACTGAGTAACTTTTTTTAAACAGTGACCTCCGTCGCTACAAGTGACGATTATGGGATGACAGTAAATGTTAAAATGAAGTGTAACAGTAGAACAAGTGGAGGTCCTAAAGCCAGCGGAGTGACTCACTAATGTCATATTTAAAGTTCACAAATTCAACTTTTTATTTTCATTTCAAAAGTGTGTGTGTGTTTTGCAGGTAAACTACTGCAGGTGAACACAGGAGCCAAAGAGCAACTTTTCTTCGAAGCCCCGAGAGGAAAAAGACAAACCATCAGAAACACTGAGGTCAGTGTGTGCCTTTGGGTGTGGACACTGTGTCAGGATTGGCGGAGGTGTGGACCCAAATGCAGACGTAGGCGAGGAGGATGCAGTTTAAACAAAGATTTATTTACTAAAAGACAAACAGGCTAACGCTGGGAGCTCAGCGGCTAAAGTTCAAACAGAAAGTGGCTCCAAAGCAAAAAACATAAATCTGGGAAGAAATCCAAAAACAAGAACAAAAGGGAATCCAAGGCACAAATCCACAAAACTCAGGGAATAATCCAGAATACCAGGAAACAAGGTACAAGGCAGGACACTCAACTTTGATACAGACAATACAAGGACGTGACAGAGACTGAAGAAAACTGGGGACAATATATACACAGGTAAACGAGCAGGGAGGGAACCACAGCTGAGACGCATCAGGTAATCAGACAAAGCTAGACAAGGACACCAGGTGCAGAAGGTTACCAAAGGAAGTAAAGTTCACAGGAACACACAAGGACAGATCTACCAAAATAAAATGAAAGACAGCAAAATCAGGACACAGGCAGAGATGGGACCAAACAGGAGACAAGACTACCCTAAAACATGGAGATAAGACTAAGGACTAAGACAGAGCATAATGAGAAAATACAGAAATACACCGATAAGGAAAACACTAAACATGAACTAAAGCACAGGAACAAGAACTAAGATGAGAGATAAGACAGTTACAAAGAAAACTTAACGCGAATGAGCCAAAATAATAACCTAGACTACAAAACTCCAAACCATGACAATATAAAATAAACACAGGAAAAACAACAGCACAAAACCAAATCCCAACACACTGTTCCTCCATCTACATTCTACTGTCCTTTGTTATTATCATCTTTAACTTAGGCTTTTTCTGAGGATGTCTGCAGGACATACTTTAGGTTTATGACACTTGAATAAAAAATATTCATTCATGTATCACCATCAAGTTTCTTAATCTCTGTCCGTCTCCATCTTATTGTTGTTATTGTGTGTGTTTGTAGCTGGAGCGGATCGAGTGGTCCAGCTGGACGTGTGTTCTGGGTTCGAGCTGTGAGGGAATCTGGCCGACGCACAGCGACATCACCGACATCAACGCCACGTCGCTCACCAGAGACCGAGCGCTGCTCGCCACCGGGGACGACTTCGGCTTCCTCAAACTGTTCAGCTACCCGGTTCGAGTACGACAGACGGAGTCACTGGTCACTGTGTAGATTCACAACATTTAAGATGAGATGAACACGAGATTAACATGGGTGATGTCGAGAAAAAATATTTTATCTTCAAAGCTCAGCGATACAAAGATGTGTAGACATTATTTAACTTGATGGAAAATACTTTATTTCTTTCTTTACTTCCTTATTTTGCCTCCCTTCTTTTTCTTCTTTCCTTATTTATTACTTTGCTCCATCATCACACTCCTCTTTCTTTGGTTCTAACTTCTTTTTTCCCTTCTTCATAAGTAATTATTTTCTTAATCTTATTTCTTCTCTCTTTTTTACTTGTTTCTTTAAGCTGTTGAAAACCTCCAGCTATTTGCCCCCATTTCCAGGAAAAACGCCTAATGCCTGGTCTCCTTTGATAGGTCAGAAGCTAAGGAATTTGAACCAACTAAATTAAATTAACCTTTTTATTTTGCTAATAAAAGTAAATGGAGATAGAATAAAGGAAAATATGATATTGTCATCCTCGCCTGGTATAAAATCTAAATTATAATAGCAATACTGCCATCAAAACCATCATCCTGTAGATAATAATTCAACTAAATATCTTCTAATACACCTGGAATACAACTGTAACTGTAAATCTGATGAAAAGAAACTAATATACAACAGGTATTACACAATTTTTCATAAATACACCAGGCGAATGTCCATGTTTTGGCCATATTTACTGTTTATATGTTCACTTTTATTGGGAGTTTTCTTCAAAACACTATTTCTGTCCATACAGCCACGATCCAAATAATGTAAAGCTTCCAAAACATTAAAGTATTGATAAAAACAGAATACTGATCAACATTCCATGACCAAAAAGCAATCCCATGCTGTACAGACCCACAACTTGAGAATAGAACATGCAACAGGTTAATACATTATTCCTTCTTGATTGAAAGTAAAGTCTTCCTTTTTCCTTCTTTGCTCTCATTTTTTCTGCATTTTCTTCCTCGTTGCTTTCCTTCTTCCATCGCCTCCTACTCTTAATTCCATATTTCCTTCTAGTCTTCATTCTTTCTGTCCTCATTTTGCCTCTTATTTCTTTCTTTGCTTTTCTTTCTTTCTTCTTCTTTCTTTCTTTAATCCATTATTTCTTTCCTTGTTGATTAATTATCCTTCCTTCCTTTTCATTGTTATTTCTGTATTTCCTTCCGCTTTCCTTCTGTCTTTACTTGCCTCTTCTTTCCTTTCTTTCCTTCTTCAACCGGACATAAAAATCTCACCCAACAGCAAAACTAATCTCCTCTCATCCCGAGGTGGAGTACTTTCACCGTAAATACCTGGAGAATGATACGCGCTTAATCTTCAATCAAATTTGGATGCCGGACTTTTAATTTACTGCAGTGTTTTTTCACTGTTGTTTCATAAAATCTGCCACTGGTGTGAATGCGTCAACAGGTGTATTTCTTCCCTCTTCCTCCCGCCAGGGTCAGTACGCTCGTTTTAAGCATTATGTGGGCCACAGCGCGCAGGTGACCAACGTCCGCTGGGCTCAGGACGACTCCACCCTGCTGACGGTGGGCGGGGCCGACACCGCCCTGATGATCTGGGCGAGGGAGCGAGGAAGTGGGTTTGGTGGAGAGGGGGAGGGGCCTTTGTGTCGAGACAACCGCCCGCTCGTGGACAGCGAGGAGTCGGATGACGACATTGAGGAGGACGGAGGTGGGTGTGTCCGTGTTTTATTAAAAAGTTTCTCTGCTCTTGACGGACTTCTGCAAAACTGAGACCTGAACCCGGCCCGGACATTGTGTATTTACATGCAACACATGACACACATCGATGGAGACGACTGGCAGAGTCAGACAGCAAAAGAGAAAGAGTTTATTTTATTATTAAGTTAAATTTGATAAGAAGCCTAAAGCTTTACGCAGTCAGGTTGCACAATTCTAATTTATAAATATGTGCGTGTGCCTGTCTGAAGGCTACGATAGTGACGTTGCCCGGGAGAAGACGGTGGATTACACCACTAAGATGTACGCTGCCAGCCTCAGAGAGATGAGAGGAACCAAACCTCACCAACAGCTGAAGGAGCTGTCTGCCGAGGAGAGGTATGCACACACACACACACACAGCCGTGTTTCCATCACTTACACTGACTTACGGTCATTTCCTGAAGACTTACCCTAACCTTCAACCAAGTCTTCTCAAATGTAATGATCCCCAAACGGAAGGCGAGTCCTCACAATGTGACTGTGTAAACAGATTTATGTACCCACAGAATGAGTAACACACACACACACACACACACACCACGTCAACCGGTTGTTCTGCATTCAAAGTTTAAAGCTGCACCAGACAGCTTTTTGTGTAGGCGCCTCTGTGGCAGGTGTGAAGGTGGGATCCCATTATACTTTATATCGACTTCAGTTCACACGTCTGAGGATGGTGGAGAAACATAAATTTAATTCTCATATAAAAATAATGGCAGAGTCTTAAATAATAATAGTAAAAAACAGCAGAATAGAGAGTATAACTCTGTTGTACTGATGCTGATGGAGTTAGTGCTGTAGAAATGGACATCATGCTGAATGTAGTAAGCAACAGGAAATTGGAGTCTCTAATAGAAGCCTTTCACAAATAAAGGCCTTTCTGGGAATTTACGTTATCAGCATCTGCTTTCATTTGCTCTTGAGACTTGATGACCTTTGACGTAAGGTAATGGTGAGAAAAGATTGCCACTGTGTAAATCCAGTGAGCCTTATTATATTCAGGCAGCTTCCAGGTGAGTGTGAACAGGGCGGTCATGAAAAAGAAGGCATTGCTTTCAGGAAATCTTCCCTAAACAAGCTCCTTACAATTATGCATTATGTTGTTAACAATGGGAGGCCCTGTAATTTAAGCTAACATCTCTGAGGTAAACCAGGAGTCCTGTTTCTCTGACAGATTTATAGTTATCCTCCTGTCAGTGTTCTTGTAATGCATGTTATCTGATAAATTCTGTAAAATATAACTTTTTTAAAGAGGGTGAAGAAAAGTTTGCTTGCTGGCTGTGTTCATGATTAGCTTAGGAGAACAAATCTGATGATGGCCCTTCATTTTACTTTACTGTAAACACACATTTCATCCTTTAAGCTTTGTGAGTAAAACATTAAATACTTCCATTAAAGCTGAATCCCACATGTATGTATCTATCTAGATTTCAAATACAGCTAATTACTTCATTTATCAGTCACACAGACTCTACTGTCAGGCTCTTGGAAGCAGCCGGGATGGTTTTCTCTGGTAGTTTGCATTCTCCAGACTTGTCTTTTTGAGCTCATGGTGCAGCTTTAAACTTAATAAACCTTCACCATATACAAAACAAAGCTTTAGAAACAGACTGTGTGCTGCTGTATTTGACATTCAGCGTTGTTTCTCTTTGATTTATGCTTTTTTGACTTGATGACTGTGTGAACAACCTGAGTTGAATCTTTTATCAGACCTTTTATGAACAGTTTCGTCCTATGATGGGTGTGTCATCAGTTGTCACAGCATCTGTGTGTTCCCAGTGTGTGAATGCGTGTTAAGTGTGGCCCTCTATACTTAAAATGGTGTGAGCGCACAGTATGTACCTGTGTATTTGTTTTAAACAAAAGGCTTTCGCATCTCATGCATGCACTGGCTTCTACTCGATGGATGAATCTTGTTTTGTCCCTTCATGTCAGTTTGCTGTGTGTTTCCACGTTGCACATGCTAACAGATTATCATAACTTAAGTGTCATTGAGTTTCTGTCTTCAAAGCACCTTAAAGGAACAAATTCATTCTACACGGTAAAGTTGTCATAAATCTTAAAACTGAAGTCTAATCTTACAAAACATGATTACCAACCAAATTCTAAAACACATAAATCACTAGTAAATACTTCCATGCCGTTTACTGACTTTTAAACTCAGAGCGCCGTAGCCATATTTTGGCAAAACCACAAGATTTGTTTTTTTAAAAGGGGAAGAAGCAGTGCAGACACAAAATTCTGCCTTTTCCGCTGCAGGGACTTAAAGTTGGGGCACATAACGTCAGAGAAAATTGCAAAAGAAAGCTAAGTATCCAGCTGAAAAAAAATCCCACTCCCTCCCTTAAGGCCTCCCTTCAAAGCCACTCCCACAAAACACATGTTCATGTGCAATGAACGTAGACCGAAATAAATTATTGGCCGTGCCTTTTACAGTCCCATTTTTGTGTCAGAGCGTTTGGTTTAATGATTGCTGTCAGGATGTACAGAGAATTTCAACAGATATAACAAAAGATGCTTCTGAAATAAATTGCTTACCAAAGTTTTAGTGACCTCTAACTTCAGGTGTTTCTGTCTGCGCAGGGTTTGCTTTTGTTTCCACATTGGGGGCGAATTTATGAACATAAATTTCAGGTGATACTAAATCTAAGTTGCAGGTACACTTGTGGGAAAGGACAATAATCAGGACCACAAGGAAGTTTAATCCCTCAATATAAATCCAGTAATGTGACTGCAACATGTAATCTGTGTAAACTGTAGATTGCTGGACAGTGTTGGAGATTACCTTAAAAGTTGAATTGTGTTTACAAGTAACTTTCGGGTAGTGTTGGTTTAGAATCGTAACAATTTAATTGGTGGGGCAGCACAATATATTTTTTCTTGAAGCTAAGCTCTTCAGAGCAGCGCCAACTCTACTAATTTAACATGGCTGACATTTAAAAGTAATCACATGTAAATCTAAAAGAAAATTTATATTGGCGCCACTTTCTCCATAGTTGTTTGTCCCACAACTAAACTGCACACTCACTGACCTCGCATACAGTAACATTACATTTACAACAACAATTACATTTGTCCCGGTATTGCTGTCCTTGTGTCACCTTTTCAATGACGTATATCTAAAACATTCTGGCGTAAAATAAAGTAAAACCTAAAAGGTTACAGTTTAGGTAAGTTCCTGTTGTGGAAAAGGCCTAAAGGTGTCAAATAAGTACACAAGTACCCTCGTGTGGTTCTAACCCAAAGGCACTTGTTTTTGTCTGTTTGTGGTACCCTTACTTTCTAAATGTTGGCTGCTCTCTGGCCTTGCTTGTAGAAACTCTTAATATCTGTGTTGTGTTTTAACTTGCATTCCCCTGGAGGCAGGGCATTGTCAAGTAAGTATGACCTGATACTCGCTGTGTAGATAGTTTGTGAGTTAATCTTGGAAAATAAGAACCTGTAGTTTCTTTATCCAATATCCGGATTTGATTATTCTCATTGTGAACCTGTCACTTCATGCATTCTCTGCCTTATATTTATCCCAGTATTTTATCTGAGAGTTCATGAAATCATTCCCAGGATAAAAACAAAGCTAGCAGTGTTATATTTCCTGAAAGATTTTATGAGAATTTAGTTTCTTGGATTAAAAAAAGTTGTTGTTTAATAATTATTTGAAGTGTTGTGTAGTGGAGGTTTGGAGGATTGCTTAGAAATGAAAAGTACTAAACTACCATCTTGCCCCCTTAACCACCAAAACCTGTCCAGACTTTGACAGTGCTGAGAAAACTACAGAACCAACAGGTGTGAATCACTTCTAGAAATAAGAACAGCTTTAAAATGACACCTTCATAAAACTTTAGCCTGCATAATTAGCATTGATTTCAATTAATTTTACCATTCTCCTCATTGCTTGTTGTCCAAAACAAAGTGCTTCTGTACAGTATATTATAATGTCTCTGTTATATTATGCTAGGTTTCTTTGTTTCACGTCTCTACTTCACTTATCCTCACGTTCCTTATCATCCTTTACTTCCTCTCTTATAAAACCCAGTTTGTTCCTCCTCTCTCTCTCCTCCTGTGTCTCTTTCTCCTCTTTCTGACCCTTCTTCCCATCATCTCCGTGTTATCATCCCTCCACAGCCTGCTTTCTGTCCTGCACTGTTGTCATCCCACTCAAACAGGTTTCCCAATAGAAGTATCTTCGGTAGCTCCATTCGGTAGGGATTAACTTTACAGAGGGAGGTGGGGAATTAAATATTCACTGTGCTCCTCTCTAATTTCACTCATCTTTTAGGACGAAGTACTTAACACGTCTCGAGCATATCATTATTTTCTCGTGTCCATCTAAATGCCCATCAGTCCACTTAGAAATATAGTATAAAAGTTGCTTCAAAACTTCCCTGAGAATCATCATGTTCATCCAGTTATAGTTGTCTGTCCATCCATGAATACACTGCAAGCAGGAGCTGCTAATTTGCCAACATATAAACATATATAGCCTAAAAACAGAGCTCACAAGAGAAAACCAGTAGCCTTACCTACATGTAGCTGACATTACTACAGCACTGAATGAGCTCTTGCTTTCGGCTATAATTATGACATCATCAGGGTGCAATTTATGGAAAAAACATGGGGGTGTTTTGAAACGTTTTTATTAATAAATCACATTGTTTTATTTTGTAGGCTACTTTTTTTCTTATTTAACTTGTCAAGTAGCCTAGTGCAATATTTTTACTTTCCTCATGTGGAGACTATAGGGGCTCTGATCAGAATTAAATCCCCTTTCCAATACTATGGATAGAAGTGGTGCAACGGATTGTACGCTTTCGCCTCCACTGAGTGAAACCACATACAGTAGCTGTGTCTTTTGGCATGTTCAGTGGCGAACCAATGAAGCTGGGCTGACAGATCATCAGATTGTGATTGTTTATTCAGGCTTCACTAATCCAAGTTCCCTTCAACACCCAGCTCCATGTTCACTGGGCTTTTATTTGTGACGTGTAACCAATCTGATCAAGTCTACGTAGTGGTTAAAAAAAACCCCATCAGAGCCACAGTAGGGCATTTTAAAATAAATGTTACCCTAACAAAATGGATCAATTCGAACTGTGAATTTTGTGATCTGCTGCACCACTAGTGAAGTGGCATTGATCACTTTGAGGGGGGATAAAAATAATTGAGCAGAGGCTGGGATACATAGACCAGACCAGACATCCCATGGCAAATCGCACCCCGGTCGTACATTGGTTCCCAAATTGACCTATATGCTGTTTCCATCAGATTAGCGAAAACATTTTGGATCCTCTCCATTTTCAGACTGAGCTGATAAAAATAAACTGCAGTAGATGGACAAGCAG